TCCTCCTCCTCCTCTTCTTCTTCCACCCACGGGGCGGTCCCCCGCTCCCCCAGGACCTCGGCAGGGTCTCCCGCCAGGGTCTCCCCGGCGCCCCGGCCCTCGGGGTCCCAGCCGCTCAGCAGGAAGCTGCCTGACGCTGAGGACTGGGCTGGGAAGGGCCGGGGTGCAGGGAAGAGGGGGGAGGCCCAGGTCTCGGACACCAGCTGGGGGACCTCGGAGGGGGCCTGGGGGGCCTGAGGGGCGGGCACTCCTGGGTCCAGGGGGTCCCAGTCGTTGGGGAAGAGGGGCTCAGGAGGGGAGCCGTGCTCCTCCAGGCGGATGTAGTACTCGCTGCTCACAGAGGGGCTGCGGGCGCTGATGACAGGCAGCACGCTGGGCGTGGACAGCGCCTCATAGAACGGGTTGGAGGGGTTGGCGTGGGGGGCCGGGGGGGCCGACGCCGGCTGCCAGGCAGGTGCCCCCCCACCCCGCCCGGCCCCACGCCGGGCCTTCTCCCACAGGCACTCGAGGTTGAGGCCGCGGCTGCTCTCGGTGACCGTGAGCACATCGTCAGGGTCGGCTCCAGGGAAGCCATCCAGTAGGGGGAATGGCGAGGAGAGGGTCCCCGGGCGGGGTGCACTGTGTGCAGGGGGCCAGGGCCAGGGGAAGGGACCGTCTCGGGGTGGAGGTGGCGGCGGTGGGGGCCGGGGGGGCCGCTCGGAGAGCAAGTAGGTGAGCTGCAATTGGAGATCAGAGGCTGAAGGGCGCTGGGCAGGTGGCCGCCAGCAGGACTGAAGGATGTCATACCTGGGGAGAGGTGGGGCAGAGTGAGCAGGGCAGAGATCCAGGGAGGGGAAAGAGACCCAGGGAGGGGACAGACAACCAGAGAGAGGGGGACAGAGATGCAGAGGGGAACAGAGATCCAGAGAGAGGGGGACAGAGACCCAGAGACAGAGGGACAGAGGCCCAGAGAGAGAGGGACAGAGATCCAGAGAGAGAGGGACAGAGGGCCAGGCTTGGTGGCTCATGCCTGTAATCCCAGCACTTTGGGAGGCTGAGGCAGGTGGATCACCTGAGGTCAGGAGTTCAAGACCAGCCTGGCTAATATGGTGAAAACCCGTTTCTACTAAAAATACAAACAATTATCCTGGTGTGGTGGTACCTGCCTGTAATCCCAGCTACCTGGGAGACTGA